AAATGACAGAGAAAGTTATTCAGTCTAAAACGGTCCCATGCAAAGAGAGATAATCGCTGGTTCCAAGCCGGAATATAGAGGCACAGAAACTTTAGATGAAGATCATATTTCATACCTACTCGTGGGCTGAGTTTATTCATTCAATTCTCTGTTGACTTTTTATGATTGGGAAGAACACATTTAGGATCAGGTGACAGGATCTTAGTGAAAGCCGTCATTATCTGTGCATACTTTGGGGCGACTGCAGCAGGCTGAGTGAGTACCGTCCAGGATATTTGTGGCAGCATGATGTGTGGGTTTTCAGAGGTCAAAAAGCTGAACTGGGGTGTGGGGGGGGGGTCCTTATTTGTGACCATCTCCACTGTGGTTTCCTCTCTCAACGCCTCTGCACTTTAATTTCCTCTTTGGTGGGTGTGGTGCTTTCGGTGAGTGTTTAGATACAGGAGGAGGGAGGAACCCCCTGTGCATTTGAGCGAGAAGTCATCCTTGCGGGTGGCTGTCGGCACGGCACGCTGAAGCACTGAACTCCTTATCTGGTAAAATACTGTGCTTTTCATTTCTTTTCTGAGTTGTTGATTGTTAGTTGCAGTATATGGATCTGCCTCACTGTTTTGGAGAAAGACACTGCCGTTCTGCGCTTTAACAGCATTTCTTTGCTACTGTGGGTTGGTGTCACTGGATATCAGGTGTCATAGCTGATGGATATGGAGAGCTGGAGAGCTGTGTTGTTTCAGTGGGATCTCTGTGGGGATGTGCACACTGTGAATGTGTGCAGCAGCCTGGAGCACAGTGGGATGTGAAATCTGACTGACTAACTTTCAGGCACAGAGAGATGGCCCATTGGAGAACGTGAGCATGTGACCCCTACCAAGGGCATTTTGTGGGGAGGGGAGCTGGAAGACCAATGCGACACAATGCGAGGGCGCAAATATGGGGAAGACAACGCATTATTTCTGCATGTATTTCGTCATACAAGAACAATGAATCAGAATCAGAATACTTTGGGTGTTTTATCTTATGTTATTCAGTTAACAATATGAAGTTATATATCATTTTGTTGCATCTGTCGTAAGTGTTTGTAGCTAATAGATGAAGCCCTTTTCTGTTCACTCGGATGGCGGTGCTGGTGTTGAGGCTCCTCCACGGCTCTAACTTACTGTCCATTTAAGGTGCAGTGTACTAATACGGTGGCTGAAAGACAGTCCTGGCGAATGAGGATAGTCCACCTAAGAGCTGACATGGAACGTGCCAGGACCAGTCAGCTGACTTGACTGCGTATAATGTTCCGCCCTTTTCTCAGAAGCAGTTGTTTTGGTGATATTTGTGTGCGAGGTGTGTATTGCAAAGCCCACAGCAGCAGAACTTGTCCCATCCGGTCATAAGCAGAAGTTGCTGAATGTTGGTTGAGTGCACTTTCCCAATGTTTGTGCCCTGATGCCCAAAGGAAGACGCCATCTGCTCTTAACGTTGGCCTTAGATTTCCGAGGTGTAAAGTCAGGCTGTCGCCTGCCATTGTTCTGCTCCTGTCCGTCCCCACGAGACACACTGCAATGACACAGGAACATCTGTAGCCTTGGGCTGTCAATTGAAAAGACGGTGGGTGGCAAAGTCAAGTGAGATCCTCTTTTTTAGTGAGAGCTGAGACAAACCAGGCAACCCAGCAAACGTGGAACGTTCAAATAACATTAGCCTATGGTTCTCCTATGGTTAATTTTACAAGAACCTTCTCATAACGTTTTGGGAACGTTTGCAAATGTTTTGGGAACTAAAAACTCGAACACTACATAAACGTTCCTACCACATTTAGAAAACCTAACTGAAATATTGTTATAGGCTCTTCCAAAGGTTTTTTGTTTTGCACTGATTAGGGGAATGTTAATACAAACAAACAGGAATGTTGTCAGAATCAGAATCAGAATCAGACCGGATGGGACAAGTTCTGCTGCTGTGGGCTTTGCAATACACACCTCGCACACAAATATCACCAAAACAACTGCTTCTGAGAATTGTCTATAGGTTATCCAGAAGTTCCCACATTACAGATTTTAGGAGAATGTTCCAAAAACAAAACCATGCAACTAAAAACTAATGTAACAGTTTATAACAAATGTAACAAAAAACAACTTTCCTGGCAAACAATAGGAACGAAACAAAATTTCAGGGAACGTTCCATAACCCAAAAAAATTGCACTCAAAAACCAAAACCAAAAATTGTTAGCTGGGAATGAATGTAAAGTTTAGACTGTTCAGGTGTTAAGATGATGGTTTGATTTCATCCTCTAGCGTATTGTTGTGGATCAGACAGGCAGATATCCCAGATATTCCCTGTAAGAAGTATTCATGCGGGATGCACTGTAAATTCACGTTTCACGTTTCAGGTTTTTTTTTTGTCACATGTGTTGGGAGGGGCACAGTGAAGTTGTTTTGCCATAGTTGCAGGACAGGGGACCAGTACAGGGGGACAGTAGGACAGACGGCAGTGCAATACAGGACAAGGCAAGGATGCAGGACATAAGACAGTATGCAGGGGGGACAAGAATGTACAAATGGAGTTCTCAGTTCCTTCATTTTACTGACCTCAGACACACTCCGTAGTCCTGTTTCCTGAAGACGCTGTGGTGCCCGCAGCCTTGGTGGTTGTGTCTTAATTTCCTCGCTAGTTTACAGCCATGTTTTAGTACACTAATATGTTTCTTGTGCTCAGAGATTTTGTCATGGAAGGTTCCGGGGCAGAAAGTGGGGGCAGGGAGCCAGTCCCTCCCCGTGAGAAACCTAACCAGTGTGACATGGTTTGAGGAACCCGCCCTTCTCAGAGGTTACATCGAAGCTTTCCGTTATGCCTCGACAGATATAGAGTGACCTCGTGTGACAGTGAGGTGTGGTTAGATGGAAACCCACTCAGCTTTCTCTGGGTTAAAAACATGCACACTCTCTGTGACGCCTTACTTTTACGATGTGAGATGTTTAGGAGACATATGATTGGATGGACTATATCTGTGCACTGAACGTTCAGCACCGTTTAATAGACCTTATGAGTAAAAATATTTAAAATGGGGTTTCATATGGTTTTGTGAAAGTAGAAACACTTTGAAATGATATATTCTGTTACACACCACAATAGTTTGCACATTTTCACTTAACTTGTTTTGTAAACCCAGATACAGCCTCAGGCTTCAGTTTTTGCATCAGGGAGTGAAAATAATGCTGTTCGCTCTTTAGGGTGTAAAGAAATGGAAAAATATATAAACGTTTACATTTCTTACAAAGAGTCCCTTATGCCCAGAGGAGAGTAAGCAGAGCTCCCCTTGTGTTACCTTCAGCTGGGGTGTCTTTTAGCAGGACTCCTCTATGGGATCCCTCTCCCCAGGTGTAATCATATCGAACCCTCTGCTTGGATTTGGTTCCCGACAGTGCCGGGTATCCTGGCTTAGGTGTTTCCCGGGTTTGGGTGTTTCCCGGGTTCAGGTGTTTCCCGGGTTCGGGTGTTTCCTGGTGTCAGGTGTTTCCCGGAATCGGGTGTTTCCCGGGTTTGGGTGTGTCCCGGGTTCGAGTGTTTCCTGGGGTCAGGTGTTTCCCTGAATCGGTTGTTTCCCGGGTTCAGGTGTTTCCCTGAATCGGGTGTTTCCCGGGTTCAGGTGTTTCCTGGAATCAGGTGTTTCCCGGGTTCGGGTGTGTCCCGGGTTCGAGTGTTTCCTGGGGTCAGGTGTTTCCCTGAATCGGGTGTGTCCCGGGTTCGGGTGTGTCCCGGGTTCGAGTGTTTCCTGGGGTCAGGTGTTTCCCTGAATCAGGTGTGTCCCGGGTTTGGGTGTTTCCCCGGTTCGGGTGTCCGCTGTCCTTATGAGCTACATTCTTCAGCTGTGGGAAGTCCTCAGTGTCTTCTCAGGTCCCGACCTTCATGAATTTTATTTTTTGCTTTGCAAGAATATTTCCCTTGTCAGTGTCCATAAAGTAGAAGCTAAGTGCCTTTCGGAGAGCTGACTGTTTCCTGCTTTGCTCTAATGTTGGTGTCTTGCTTGCTGAATGTTCGCAAACTCAACCCATTTTCTCCCGGAGATGGTTGGCTTCTTGTATTTTGTATCTTATATCACTCCCTGCCAAACCTGTTAATTTTTTTACAAAGAGAAATGCCACACAGTTCTGTAGTTTAGCGGAATTAAGTTTTCCAGTTCTTTAAGGGTAGATGCTGGTAGTCTTTAAATTCTGTGAAGCTCCTGATGTCTTTATGATCTCAATATGAGACGGCACAAGACAAGATAAGACAAAGTGAGATGGACTTAATTGATCCTTAGGAGTCATTCATGGGCATACAGCAGTAAACTGCATAGAGGATGAGTAAACACAGTGCAAAGGCAGTACATAACGCCATAAAGTCAGTGTAGTGCAAACAAACTAAAAAGTACACGGTACACATATAGAATATCCTGAAAAACAGGATATTAAGGAGATAAAAAATAAATTAAAGATGAATAAAAAAATAAACCAACAAATAAATAAATTAGCAGATGTGATTCTCCATGGGCGTCGTTAGGTCTGACTATAGCCCACTGTGTTTTAAGCTGAGCCCTGAGTATTTTAGCCAGGATGTCAGTCTTACTTAAAAAAAAAAAAAAAGTCAAGTCCCAGGTAAACTTGACTTTTCTTTTCAATAGCTACAAACTCCCCTGGTATTCGTGCAATTAAAAGACAAACAGCACTGGGCTTTTATTCCGGTTCATAATAGCTGCTTTAAGTCTAAAGCAACATGCCTTCTTTCTTAGCTGTATCTCTACAGAACTCACTCCAGCTAGTCCCAGCTAGTCCCAGCTTGAAAATACTCTCTATGAAAATACTTCTCTATGAAGCCGCTATGGTGGTCCAAAGGCCAATAGGAGCTGATCTCTTTCCGACTGATATCTGCTATTTCTTGGTGTGATGTAACGCATGGCTCCAGGTAATAGCGCCATATATTTATATTCACATTAGTGCATTTTATCCCCCTCTTTTTCTGTCTTCTCTATCAGCCACCACTAACTTGGACTTGGAGAGCAAGCAAGCGGCCCACTTCCAATCGTCATGGCAACAGCACGTGAACGTGTTCAGCTCGTGGAATAGGCCCGAGTGCGTTCAGGAGCTGCATCAGGAGGCACAGGTCAACCTTCATCGGCTGCTGCAAGGTAGGGGCGTGGGGGTGCGTGTGGAGGCAACCCTTAACACTGATATTGTTAGACGTTTGTTGGCCACGCCCATTTCCTCCGCGATGCCTGCAGGTTTCAGCAGTAACGTGGGCCTGCCTCGTTTTCCTTCCTCTTGCCTGTTTTTGGGTTGGGCAGAATAGGGGATACTTCTCCTTTTTAAGTATTTCTGAATTCTTGCATCCAGTAAAACTGGTTTGCTCATTTATTTTGCTGGTATTTGGACATTTTTGTGCATTCGACGATCACTGACGGGATTAGCATTTAAAATTTAAAATCTAAAATTGAGGGACATTCTGCTGCCTTCCTAAAGTGCGACAATCCCCTCTATCTTACTATTTGCATTATCTTGTATATTGATGGATGAACAATGTTTTTGTTTTGTGTGATTTGTAATTTATCCTCTGTTTAAACAACAGGGTGTCGAAGCTCATAAAGACCACAATGACATCACACACACTAGTCAGTCTATCAATGATAATGCGCTATTAATTACTTAAACACTCAAACAATGCAATATTTTATATCAACTCCTGTTATATCAGATTTTTCATCTGTGTTGGACTTTTCTTGCTCCTTTTTGCAGTCTCTTTCATTAGTATTAGCATCCACAAATGTTGCTCCTTTCCTTGCTGTCTCTGCTTGTTCTCATTAGCAACCACAAACGCTGCTCTTCACCTCACTGTCTGTGCTTGATCTCATTAGCATTAGCATCCACAAACGCTGCTCCTCTTCTCAGTCTCTGCTTGTTCTCATTAGCATTAGCATCCACAAACATTGCTCTTCTCCACACTGTCTGTGTTTGTTCTCATTACTATTAGCATCCACAAATGCTGCTTCTCTCCTCCCTGTTTCCGCTTGTTCTCATTAGCATTAGCATCCACAAATGCTGCTCCTCTTCTGAGTCTCTGCTTGTTCTTATTAGTAATAGCAGCTACAAACGCTGCTCCTCTCCTCACTGTCTCTGTTCATTCTCATTAGCATTAACATCCACAAATGCTGCTCCTCTCCTCCCTGTTTCCGCTTGTTCTCATTAGCATTACCATCCAGAAATGCTGCTCCTCTTCTGAGCCTCTGTTTGTTTTCATTAGTAGTATCAGCCACAAACACTGCTCCTCTCCTCACTGTCTCTGTTCATTCTCATTAGCATTAGCATCTACAAACATTGCACCTACACTCACTATCGCTGCTTATTCTCATTAGCATTAGCATCCTCAAATCCTGTTCCTCTCCTCGGTGTCTCTGCTTGTTCTCATTAGCATAAACAAATGCTGCTCCTCTCCTCGCCATTGCTGCTTGTTCTCATTAGTATTAGCATCCACAATCATTGTTCCTTTCTTTACTGTCTGTGCTTGTTCTCATTAGCATTACTTTTAGAAATTGCTCAATGTCAAATTCCACATCAGGACACATATTTATAAAATGAATGGGTGTATGTAGGAGGTCTGATCAGGACTCAGGCTCGGACTGCCCATCAGGAAGCTGGGGAAATGAGGGCCAGTCGCCAACAGTACATACAATGGGGAAGCTGCCCCCCCCCACACCCAGGGAAATATACATCATAGATGATATACACGATCATAAACACATAGGGGAGGGGGGAGAATGATGAACAGGTAGGTCGAGAGAGCTGGGTGAACGTAGGTC